TAACATCACTGAAACCGTCGAGGGTGGGGGACCATCATCGTAGCAGGGTACAACCTTGTCGCTGATGCTAGGGGATATTGCCATGTCGATCAGTGTATCATATTTTTGTGTTGCTGTCTGTTTAACTAGCTGTTCAAAGAGCAGGAAGAAACATTCCTACTCTTGTCCCAGATGCATGGCTTGCAGAGCTGGAAGCCACATTGGCCACTGCGAAGAGACTTCCAGGTGGCTCTGTGAAGAGACTCCTGCTCCCGCAGGAAACACAGCGGAGCAGGCCGAGCCATTCGCAAAAGGAGGGACGAAGCGGCCGCAGAGGCCTTGCTTCTGCCAAGCTTGTCCAACATGACACAAGGACCACTCTGGGGGAAGATGAGGATCAATCCTGCCTGCATATTAGGTGTTGCTTTGAAGTACAGGTTCTTTCAGAAGAAAAGCAAGCAAAATCATCTAGAACTTTGCCAAAATTATGTTGTGAGGTAAGGCCAGCGAGCTCACGGCTCTGACTTTGCTCTCTTGTTTGCACAAGAGGGCTTGATCCTATCTTTGTTCGTGGAGCACATGCCTGACTCATGAGGAGCCTCCTCTGATTCTCAACATAGTCTAAGTATTGGACAAAGCAAACCAAAAGGTCTCAGGGTAGCCTGTTCTCAATAGGAACATCTCCTCGAATTTGACCTGAGGAAGGCTCAACGGTTCAATGTAGGCATGCTCCTGTCAGACTCCCAGCAATGCGGGTCGGCCGAAGAATCACTTTGCGCGAGCAAGCTTTGGGTGCCGCATTGTAGCAAGAGACTTTAGGGTCAAGTCAGCTCGGGGAATGGTGCAGGGATATCAATATGGCAACATCGTCGTTGATTAAGAGATCACCACCGACCCACAAAATGCAACTGTGCTCGAACCAATCTTTTAGCACTTGCGGCGCAAATCAGTGCACACACAAAGCAAATGCTCTCTCACTGATTCTTCACTGCGGCGAGAAATGGTGGAAAAACCGCCTGCACCAAGAGGCTACCTGCACCCTGTCACAACATGAACGTCTCCCGGCCTCATGGAAGACTACGGAGGAAGTGGACAATGAGGCTTCTCGCTCAATTGAGGCAACTCAAAGGAGCATGCTGGAAGCACGAGGAGTCTGCACCTATGCAGCAGGATACTCTGCAAAGCTTTTGTTTTTGCCCACCTGCCTCAAAATCATTGACACTCACGAAGGTCTGAAAGCAAATGGTCTTGTGGACACACCGGTCACTCACATGGCAGGGAGAGGGACAGACCTGGGGACAGCACCCGTCACCTCATCACGGTTGGTCGCATCATCGCAGTCGGACTTGTCGTCTGACTGTTGCAGAGTGTTTCCTCACGCAGATCCGTCGATCGCAAGGTCAAATGACTCCGGCAGGCGAGTCTCTGGTAGTTGCTTCAAAGAAAACCATGGGTCCCAGAAGCCAGATGATCCGAATCCTGTCTTGGCAGAGTGTAGAGAACTGAGACATCAGGGTGCAATGAAAAGATCTACGACAGTGCAGGATGCTTTTGTCTTGTGGCACTGAAGGTCAGGTTCTTTCATGATGGTTCAGGCTTCACAATTGCGAGTCCTCGAGCCTGCGGTGCTATGTCATGATGGATTTGTGAAACCTTGAGGGAATACCTGGCAGTATACAGCCCTGTGTTAGGGCAGGCCACTCCATACCACTTGTCATGACAGCTTCATCGACGTCAAAGCCGTCTGCTTCACACCCAATTAGAGGTTCCACTGCTCGTGTAAAGGTCTTCTTAGTCTTCACCACCAAGCTGATAAAGGATCCAAAACCCGACGGACAGCCATTAGGAGGCATCAAAGGTGCGTTTGTCAGAACTACGGCGTTTGCTCTCTGCTGAGGTGCGTTTGGTGCTGATCTTCTCACAAGCTGACACGGGCCCAGGGCTTGCACAAGGAGCCATTGCAATGACCTTCCAAGAAGGCCAAAGCTGACGCGGACAAGTACTGGCTGAAAAAGCTAATACACTTTGGTGGCTTGCCATCAACGTCCTTTTGACAAGACTTCTCAACTTGGGTGTAAAGCCTGTCCAGCTGCCGAGCGTTGCCGGCTTGGGTGGTGCAGTGGGTCAAAGCACGTTTGCCAATGGGAGCTGGGCACCGGCACTGTGCGTCAATGGCCACTGAGCTGGGCACTTGAAGATGGAATCGAACCAAATTTGGAACACGGCATGTACCCTCACAGAACTTTGTGTTTGTGACAGCGAGCGATTCCAGGTTGCTGTTTGGGAGTCTTACTCCTCGTAGCTATTGCAAGCTTTTGTGTGGAGTGCTTCATGCGGTTGGCCATAGCCATACAAAAAGTAGACACACAAGACTGCTAGAGCCAAAACTGAACAACCGTTCTTGATCGAAGTGGCCAACATGTTGAATCCTGTACTTCTGCTGGAGGTGCAGGCTTGCGATGCCGGCTTTGAAGCAGGCAGTGCCATGGATCTTGCTATCCAGAAAGCTGCGTCAGGTAATTCCGCTGTCACACAACAGTCCAATCTTTGGACTTGTCATATCACGTCTGACTCCCATGTTTTGAGTTTAAGTAAGGATGCCCCTTTTTGGTATCTCCAAGCCCAACAAACATGAGTCGCTTGCATCGCGCCAGAAGATGTCTTCATATGCTTTAGTGCACTTTGCGATGCATTCCTGATGTACTACTTTGCTACTCCAGTCAGTCAAAAGGGAGGATCTTGATCCTAGCTGCCCGGTTCGTGTGCGTTTTTGGAATGACGTAAGGCGCCCCATGCTCAGCATAGGGCGCCCCACTCGGTCGACTCCTCGTGGAAGCCAGAAACGTCCCTCGCGTCGGTCGGTCCCGACCTCATCCTGTCGGAGCTCATGGCAAACAAAAACATCGAAACACCTCAGAAGATGGACTAGAATGATGCATGTCTTGCCGTCTTCATGGGGATCAAAGCCAGTGAATGGAGGCTGAAGAGTGGCCTGTCCTTCAAGAATGGAGAGGTGGAATGCAACAAGAGTGGCCTGCACATGTCTTGCTTTGGCTAATTCTTGCACTTGTCTCCCTCATGTCTGCTTCCCACACAACATTCCCTTTGCTTTGCTTTTGACCCGGCACTTGAAATGCGATCTGCCGTCGAAGAAAGCTGGTGCAGTCCTCCTCTCCCTGGACAGGTCCAGTGCAAAGTCCAAATGCTTTCGCTTCTCATTCGCTCACTCTATCACTATCAGCATCGGCATCCCCTCGGCCCGCGCATGCATGAACCACTTGGATCTGCCTTCAAGACAACGGGCATTCATTGGCGATATTGACACCACTGGCCCCGTGTGTCCCGATTTGGCTCGGTGGGGACTGCCCTAAGCCGGCGAGACCGCTGGCGAGCTGCCCTAATGGCCTAAGCACGCTGCAGCATGCAGGATGAACGGGGGGGCAGGCGGCGGGATCGAAAGTCCGCACTGTCACCAATCTTTGTGCTACACTGTTGCACACTGGAAATCCATCGCTTGGTCCCCCATAAATCAGGCTTGGTCACTCACCCGAAGGCGCATGGAAGTCATGCAGAGCAGGGAGAAGAAGCAGAAGCAAAGGTAGCTGGCATTTCACTGGCTCTCATATGACCTCCTGCCTTCACGCATTTGAAAACCCTAACACACTAACTCTGGGCTGGCACAAAACTTCCGCCCAAAACATCGGAAAGCTCGCCGAAACGAAGAGCTTGTCAAAGCGCAGGCATCACGAAGTGCGTGTGGTGCTTAGCGTGCTACCCACCCCACGAAGTCTACAGCTCTGTTTCCTTGCTCCACAAATGGAGCGTGCACTCAGCAGTCCTACATCACTCAGCAGTCCATGGTGCACTTGGCGTTCAATCCTGAGACCGACAGGCCAAACAGGGTGAAGTTGACCACCTGGAAAAGAACAGGATGGGATCCCGAAGCTCTTCCGAACCCACTGGAAGACCTGAAGTGTGAGCAAAAGCTCCTGTCACTTGGCTGGGAGATTTCAGCATTCATCCTGCAAGACTTTCAAGTGACTGCTGCTTTCTGGTGGCACTTCGAAATACCATTGACACGACACAACAGGATCGTCGGGCTGTCGGACACTGCGTCCTCCTGCAGCGTCCGGACGTGTCCCTTGTTCCGGGTCGGCTCACAGCGACGCAGCGTCCGGACGGCGCACATGCAGCGTCGAGAGCTCCTTTACGAAGCGGGCTGAGGACGACGGCGAAGTCGCCCACCGGATCTGTGAGGCGAAATCGCCCACGCGATCCACGCGATCCGACTGGCACGCAAGACCCACACGTTTTGCGCATTGAACATGACAAAAGGGGCGCGGGGTGGGCGAGGGTCTTAAGGATTCACTTGAAAGAAACCATCTGTGCCTGATCTGAAAACGTCGATCGATCAAATGCAAGTACTGATGCGGCCGCATGACCTGAATGTTGCAACAACCTTGAAGCTGCAGGCTCTTGCTTGTTCCCAAGCATTCCGGACCTAGCTCCTGCTGCTGATCACAAGAATTCCGTTATCAACGCACAGCGCTTCAGCACCAAAACCATCTTTGCTGCTTGAGCATCTACAATGGGGCGGAAGCTCTAAGGCTCTAAACTGCTCTAAGGAATCCGGCTTCCATCTCTCACATGGCCTCCTCTCTTCCCGCCTTTAAAACCCCTAACTCTGGCTTGCTCACAAAACCTCACCAAGATACATCCCAAACCGATTCGAACGAGCTTGGAAGAGCTTGTAAAAGTTAAGCTGTCATGCTGATGAAGGCATCACCTTTATACCACAAAAGCCAGGCTCCGTCCGTCCTGCTCAGAATAAGTGCGTGCGCTGAGGAGACCCACATCACCAACGCAGTGGGCCAGGCACTTTGCATCAATACTCCTCAATGGCTTACACCTCCGATGATAGCAAGCCGAAAAGGATTGAAGTTGACAGCCCACAGAAGGACAATAGGATAGGACCCCCAACACCTTCCTGCGAAAACACTGGAAGGCCGCCTGAGTAGTGCTCACATCCGCTTCCGTCCACTGGCTGGCACTTGCGGGACAAACGCCAAAGCAGATTCCTCCACTTTTAATAGCAGCTGGGATGCATTTACTGGGCTTAGATTGCATGCTAGGCTGACACAACTGACAATACCATGGTCAAGCAAATCCTTCCAAGTGAAGAGACTTGCGAGATGCTCACTCAAGACTGTCTTGTCACCAATCTGGACAACACTGAGATGTTTTGGAATGTTTGCTGCACGTGGCACAGTCGCCACAGACTTGAAACCGCTAGGGCCAAAGTTCCATTTGCCAGCGAAAGGTCCCCGCCTCCTCATACCTTAGACTCACTGGTGCAGAAAAGCCCAAAGACCGTGATGTTTCCATGTTCGCTTGCGACAGGAAGCCTCTTGGAGCTCTGCAACTTCAGGACCATGCTGTGGAATTCGAGCTCCCGCAATGTGCAAAGGAAGTCATCACATTCCATTGTCTGAATTGCACTGAACATGAAGCAACCATCCCGACCCTTGATACTTACACCAACGGCCGAGTGCTCAAGGCCTTTGCCAAAAGACATTGTAACGCCAATTCTGGAAGCAGCGTCGGTCTGTTGTGCTTGAAGGCATGGGCAAACCCTTGATTCTCCTGGCAGCGGGTGAGTTTCTGGGTCAGGAAGGCTGCTGCTTCACCTTGTCTAAAACTAAATCTGGCGAATGTTATATATATATATAATATTATAATATATATATATATACAATTATATATCTGAAAGATGGGCGGCAATCCTTTGTTACGAAGTGGCTGAGGAAAGCCTCCAGCCGGTCCACACAAGACCTCTCTTTTAGACCTCGAATCGGCCCAAGAACCAACGCTGAATTCATGTGCTGAACAGGAAAATACAAACATTGGGACCACGTGTTGTTCAGCGCGTCACAGGTTCATACAAACGGTCCCAGGATGGGGGACCCCGTGGTGTTGGCCCATCACAACAAAACGTGGATCAGAGCATGTGAAGCGCGAAGTCCGTACTCTTTCCTGTGTATGATTTGTTTGTGTGTGTGTGTGCTCCCTGTCATCTGAATATTGCGACCCATATCCCATGGTCCCGAGATCTCCCTCGTTCCCAAATCATCGGAACCCGACCCAAAACCCCTCCCAGGCCTCCAGTTCTGGACCTGCATTCCCAAAAAGAACATGGAGCCGAGCAGACTACTTCACCATCCACCGAGCTGGACATCTTCGCGTTGTTGCAGCCCACACGGCTGGTCCAGTGACTGGAGCTCGGAGCACCGCAGATCCCCGCGCTGCCAGGACCAGAAAGTAAGAGGCCACGGGGAAGACCAGGAAGCCCAAAGCCATCGTTAAGCCGCGGAAGGACCTGTCCACATCGAAAAGTCAAAACGTCCCAAAATCCCAACAAGGAGAGTTGTAGCAAAAGTGGAGTCATGCCTTGGAAACACGTCTGACCTCACCCAATTCGGTCTGACCTCACTGCCTAAGTCTGGCGACGTCATGTTTTTCCGCACTGCACGCGACCCGGTCAGGTGGCCGACCGGTCGCACCGCACGGAGGAACGAGCAGAACAGCTAGTCATCTCAAAGCGCATAGCACGGAGGCGTGTGGAGGCACCAAACCTGCACCCAGGTTTGGAAGACCCCAGCAGAAACAGGAGTCAACCTTTTGTTCACTCCCCAGACAGCTATCCTTGACGGCATAGAGAGGCTGTCAAGCAGCACCCATCGAGCAGCCGGCTTGCCTTGCCTGGAGCTTAACACACTTACAAACATTCCACTCGCCCACCTCTCGTTGGCGCAGAGCTTTGAAAGCAAAGCAGCACAGGGCTACCCAACCAGCACGGAAACTTGGGGCAGGAAAAAGAACTGACATTCCAGCACTTTCGTAGGGTATCACACACCCTCAATCTGAAGCCCTGCATGCAGCTGCGTGCGCAAGTTTCTTGTTTGTTCACGCAAGGCCTGTCAGCAAGATCTGTGCCTTTTGCCTGCGCTAAGACACTCCTAGAGTTTTGAAACACAGTTTTCGTGCAATTCTGTTCCACCACAGGCTGCACGCTCATTGCCGATGGCCGGGCCCCCTACACATCCTCCACTCCTGGGGATGTGTGCGCAGTGCAACGTCCTTTGGAACCAGTTGTGCTCCGATGCTGCGCGTGGGAGTTCAACAGAGGAAGGCGCAGCTGGTTCAACAGTCCAAGGAAGGCGCCGCTCTGAACATCGAAACGAAGAACTGCGTCAAGTGAATTGAAGTTGTCGTCTTGTGCCCAACCAACCAAACAACAAACCAAACCGGGTACCCAAAAAGGAACACCAACGAAACAAGCCCAAACCAACGGTACACCTCAAAACGACGGTTCTTCGGCCGAGGGTTCTTCGGCCGAACCGCCCCTCGGTCCACCAGCTCCAACCATCGAAGGGTGGGGCACGTGATCTTAGGGAATAACGAGGAATAACGAGTATCCAGCTACTAGGAGCGATCGGATGCTACGAACGGGGCTCCTGGCCTTACTACTAGGAGCGATCGGACGCTACGAACGGGGCTCCTGGCCTTACTACTAGGAGCGATCGGACGCTACGAACGGGGCTCCTGGCCTTACTACTAGGAGCGATCGGACGCTACGAACGGGGCTCTTGGCCTTACTACTAGGAGCGATCGGACGCTACGAACGGGGATCCTGGCCTTACTACTAGGAGCGATCGGACGCTACTAGCACATGATACAAAGCTGGGTCCACGCCTTTGGCCACCACTGTAGAAGCGATTCCAGGCTCATAGCAGCACAAGCCATCTTTCGCAACATGTGCTGGCTGCAGCATGCAAAGAACCTTCAAAGCTATGAAGGATGTTGCTTGTGGGATCCCACCAGTTGCAGAACGTTCATACCTCTGGCTGAAGCATGATCCTGCCAGGTGCTTGTAGGGCATCAGGGAGCCACCTCCGCCGCCGGATTCGCAGGAGATGTAGAGCAAATGTCATAGATTAACTTCCTTGTGCCCTCCCTGCAATGACTGCTATGATTTCAGCCCGAAAATGATGTCCAGGACTGTGAGGCTTCCACGAGATACCTGCAATTCAGGGCCAGCCTGTTGAAGGAAGGTTCGAGGAGGGCCATCCCAGTTTGCATCCATCAGAGTATGCTTGCCCACCAAAGGACGAGTTCCGTGGCTCACGGCGACGAGGCGTGGGCTAAGCAATCGACTTCACAGGATGAAGTTGCTTTTGACTTGGAGTACGCCTCTGCATAGGAAGTGATTACAAGGTTCGTGCAAAACGCCTGGCTTGGTCTGCATCTATACAACACAGCTGAAAGGCAGCTTCACCAAGTGGCATCACATTTCAGCTGATGCAAAGTAAACGGAAAAGATCAATCACGGTCATTCTCCAACTCCTGCATGTTAAGGCTCTTAACATCAATATCTTTGCCACTGTTGTCGCCCTTCACATCCACGCCAACCTGTCAGACATGGGCAAACATTTCCCAGGAAATCCATCTTCAAAAAACTGAAGATACATACCCAAAAAGGCCTCCTCCTTCTGCTTGGCATTGTTCGCCCAGGATACACCCATATGCTTTTCATGGGGTGTGACGTCCCGTGACGGGACGAACTTGGGTTCACCGAGTGACGGGAGGTTCGTCTAACATACACGTAACGTCCCGTGAACCCGGTGACGATGTGAACACGGTGCAATGTAACCGTGCCTTAGGCTTGAGAGTAGCAAGCCGACAAAAACCCTAAAACCCCAAACCCCCAGTATCCTTGGATAGTGCACCCTGATACTATTGTTATGTCGGTTTGAAAGCAGGAAGGAACTGGATCTGAGAAAAGCATAAGTGTAGAATAGAAAAGAGTGAATTAATCATACCCTTTGCCAGAACAACATGTATAGTCTTTCAATCGTAGTTATATACAGCATACAACTAAGAAAAACGATCTTACTCCACTAGAAGTAGGTCTTCGTGGTCAAACGAGCTCCCCCAGCTTCGCTGAATCAATGCTCGCCCAGCCTTACTCCTCATTTGAAGGAAGGTTCGAGGAGGGCCATCCCAGTTTGTATCCATCAGAGTATGCTTGCCCACCAAAGGACGAGTTCCGTGGCTCACGGCGACGAGGCGTGGGCTAAGCAATCGACTTCACAGGATGAAGTTGCTTTTGACTTGGAGTAGGCCTCTTCATAGGAAGTAATGACAAGGTTCGTGCAAAACGCCTGGTGTGGTCTGCATCTATATAGCACGGCTCAAATGCAGCTTCACCACGTGGCGTCACAGCGCAGCTGATGCAAAGTAAAGGGAAAAGATCAATCGCGGTCATTCTCCAACTCCAGCATGTTAAGGCTCTTAACATCAATCTCTTTGCCACTGTTGTCGCCCTTCACATCCACGCCAACCTGTCAGACATGAGCAAATGTTTGCAAGGGAGTCATGGCAGAGTTCTGAGAACTATGGCTCATCTTTCATATGATGACAATGACATTGTTGTGATAATGATGTTCTCGAGACTACCGCAACAATGTGGCAGACGGCAAGCCTGAAACAATGACAATGCTGCAACAACTCATGAATGTCCAGGTCCCCAACCACCACTAGAACCAACTTGATAACACGGCCCATGACTGTGACGTTGTGATGCTCACAAAGCAAATGTAGGAACAATAACGATGACAATGTTGTGCCCACAGTTATGATGTGTCGATGACAATGTGGTGAGACCCTGTTGTGACCAAACAAAATGATACTGTGTGATCACTACGACCCTGCAGTATCAATGATGACAATGTGCTCGTGATGATTGAACAATGAGAGGGCTCTGCGACCCAACCTGGTCGTTGGCTGAAGAGGACTGTCACCAAACCCGATCCTTTCATTTCTGCCTAAGGCCTAAGGGTCTTGCCTGGGGGTCTGTTTGCCCGGCCTCGTCGTATGATCCACGAAACACAGCGTGTACTTCAAAGCAAAACGTCTTGGCAAAGAAGGAACGCACTGCTTCAGCTTGGAAGCGCCTTGGTGGCATCAAGCAAAGCCAGCTTCAAAGCTGACATGGAGTATGGCTTGCTCGGCTTGCCTGGCTTGCCCTGTGCACCATGCACTCCTGTCCTGGAAATGCTCCAGCCAATTGCGTTTGCCAAGTGCGACCAAAATCCCATAAGTGCAGAGCTGCAAGGGAGTCGACTTTTGTCAACCACTTCCGGATCAACTGATCTTGGAACAGTATGGGTCAATGACTTCTAGACTTCTATAGAACCCAACTTCAAGGGCCTCTGCATTCGCGTCGAATGTCTCGGTGTTTTGAATGGAGTGCGACCCAGCAGCAAGTGGCGGAAAG